GAGGGGGAGGGGGAAGATAGCTGGGGGAGGGAGCGGGCACACTACCAGGCGGTGTCCTGCTCACCGAGGGCAGGTGGTCTCACGCTGGTATTATCCCCATTCGCTTGAGTGTCCAGATAGCAATAAGGCTGGTTAGTTTTGCTCATGTTTGGTATTTTCCCCCAAACAATTCCAGTTTGCATCAGCTGCAGGATGGGGCAGCTGGCAAAACCGGAGCTGTTGTGCTGTTCTTGTTCCCAGAGAGCAAGGAGGAGGACCAGGCACGTTGCAGACTGGGAGTGTGCACCAGCTCTGTTTTATGGCAACATGTGGCAGGGTGTCCCAGGTTGGGAGGAAGATCCCTCCTCACCTCAACTGAGAAAGGGCACAGTTCAGCCTTAAGGTAGAAGGTAGAGCTCAAAAGTACCAACTGGTTTGACGGAAGTTAAGTCACCAAAAGCCCTATCCAGCCCAGAGTCCGGTGCTGGGAATGCCAGGGCCACCAGGTTCCCACTTCCTGCCAGTGCCAAGTTGGCACTGGAAAGCAGTGGGGACTGGCAGGTTGGAATAAGTGACCTCTGCTCCCAGGCAGAAGCCCAATTTGAACTTTGTGCCGGGTCTATTGGTTCACCACCCCCACACCTCCATTTTTTTCCCTTTAGACTTCGGCACCAGAACAGATAACTAACCCCAATCCACACCCACCCACCTCCCAATATACACAGAGTTGCAGTCAGCTCCTCCCTTGCCCTTTTGTTTCTGCTGCTGAATGCTGGCCCACCACAGGGAGGTTGATGTGGTGGGCTCCATAGCCCTGCTATGCAGCTGAAAAGTCTGTGGGCTGAAGCCTCCTGCTTTGAGGGGCTGTCCTGAGAGAAAGCAGAATCAGGTTCCCCAGGTGGTGGTATGATGCCTAAATTTGGATTAGATTCCTTAGAGCAGAAGACTCAGAAGCATCCTGGGGATGCTGGGCAAGTCAAAGTCTGAGCTTTGATTTTCTCAACTATAAAACAGGAGCAGTGGCACACAGGATCCATCTTCTCAAGAATATAAAAATAGTGGGAAGTGCCCAGCTAGATGCTGATTAAGTTCATTGATGTCTAGACCCCCAAAGCCCGCCCCTGCAACCAGTCCCTTGAGCTTTTTTTATTTTTATGTTTTAACGTGTGTGTTTTGCCTGCATGTGTATAAATAACCACATGCATGTAGTGCTCGAGGAGGCCAAAAGTGGACATCAGATTCCCTGGAACTGGAGTTTTGGAAGGTTGTTGGCTGCCTTGTTGGTGCTGGAAACTGAACCCAGGTCCTGTGAAAGAGCAGCCAGTGCCCTTAACCACTGAGCCATCTCTCCGGGCCCCCAGTCCCTGCAGTTTTATGTATAGCTAGCTAAGCTTCTCTAGTAGAAAGATCCCATATTCTGATACAGTGACACCCCCCTTCCCATAAGGTTAAAAAAAAAAAAAATGACAGTAAACACTGTGAGGCAACCCTTTCCAACATAAAGCATCCAACTGAGATTCAACAATTAGTTTTAACCTGAATTTGTTTGCAGAGTGGGAGCTGTTCTTTTAATCTCATCAATTCTCACGTGACAAAGGTGTGAGGGGAAAGATGCTGTGGCAGAGATTGGTTAACTGGGTGATGTCTTGTTGGGAGTACCATCCTGGGTCAAGAGCAAATTGCACAGAGGATGAAGGGTGCCCGGAACACTGGCAGTCCTTGCTGGCCTACTGAGGCTAGAGAAGCCAAAGCGAACCCGTTTTCTTTATTTTTTGTTTTGTTTTTGAGACAGGGTCTCATGTATTCTAGCTGGCATGTGATACACTATGTAGATCAGGCTGGCCTCAAACTCAGTTTCCCCCTACCTCTGCCTCCTGCATGCTGGGATTACAGGTGAGCACCACCACACCTAGCCTCCACTTTGTTTTTTTGAGACAGCGTCTCTCAGTAGGACCTGGAACTTGCAGATTTAGCTAGGCTGGCTGGCCAATAAGCCCCAGAGATCCTTTTGTGTCTGGGCTTTTTTTTTTTTTTAACATAGGTTCTGGGGATTGAACTCAAGTTTTCCTGCTTACATAGCAAGCTCTTTACTACCACCACCACCACCCCAATCTTTTTTCTTTTTCTTTTTTTTTTTAAGATGTATTTTGGGCTGGGTGTGGTAGTGCATGTCTTTGATCCCAGCATTCAGGGAAGCAGAAGCAGAGGCACAGCAGCAGTCTATCTCTGTGAATTCAAATCCAGCCTGGTCTACATAGCAAGTTCTAGGCCAGCCAGGACTGTATAGTGAGACCTTGTCTCAAAAACAAACAGAAGATGTATTTTATTTTTAATTATGTGCAGGTGTGTGGGTGTGCACATTGCTCATACAGGTGCCAGTGGTGAGGCTTCAGATTCCTGAGCTGGAGTTACAGGCTGTTGGGAACCACCTGGTATGGGCGCTGGGAACCAAACTCAGGTCCTCTGAAAGAGCACTACATGTGCTTAACCCACTGAACTATCTTTCCAGACCTCCCGCATCTGTTTTTTTAATAACCCCTCCCCTCCCCCTCCCCCCACTGACCACTAGACACAGGGCAAAGCCTAAACTTTTTTTTTTTTTTTTTGGTCTTTTTGAGACAGGGTCTCCCCAGTTCGAGCTGGCCTGGAACTCAGAGATCCTTCTGCCTCTGCCTCCCAGTGCTGGGATCAAAAGCGTGTGCCATGATGCCTGGCTTAAGGCCTAAACCTTTGAGCTTAAGCCCAAAGTAGGGGCTGGGCAGACCTCCTGAGCCAGCTCAGCTGTATTAGCTGGGCTGCCTGGAGCCAAGTTACTTCACCTCTCTAAGCCTTTGTTTCCTCTTGTGTAAGTTGGGGGTGATGGCAATGACCTCCTGAGGTTGTCAGGATTACATAAGGATGTATGTAAGTCACTCAATACCTGGCGCTAAGTAAGTACTCAGTAAATGTTGATTGTTGGCATTTGAAGTAATAAATAGTTCACAGGATGATTCTACCCGGTTCAGAGGGCAGCTGGCACTGGATCTACCTCCCTAGGAGAACAGGTGCTGCTGTGGCCAAACCCAGCTCTCAGAAGTGCTCAAAGATCGCTGTTGTTTATTAGTTCTGTGGTGAGCTGGGTGTGGTAGCTTATGCCTATAATCCCAGTACACAGGAGGCAAAGGCAGGAGGATCACCATTCAAGGCCAGTCTGGGCTATGGAATGAGACCCTTCCTCAAAATATTTAATAATAATAGTAGTAGTTCCTGGGGCTGGAGAGATGGCGCAGCGGTTAAGAACACTGGTTGTTCTTGAAGAAGACCCGGGTTTGAATCCCAGCACCCACATGGCAGCTAACAACT